CTATGGGGGCCATCATCTTTAAACCATGGACTGAGCAACGTATATCACTGAACTGGCACTCGGGATCTTACGTACAAATAAAGATGGAGTTAAAAATTCCTCAGATCTCTTCCAGATTTATGGTCAGGTCAATTGAAAGGTTTCTTGGAAGGAGTGCAATTTTAGAAAATGGAAAGGAAATGCTCAAGTTATACTGTTAGGAAAGACACCCCTTCCTTTAGGATCATCTTAGAAAAATGGAGCTTGGAAGTAAAGAGGGAGGAGAATAAAGACAAGGACCTGGCATGAGTAAGTAATGTGAGAGCCCCTGAGGGAGACTGTGGTAAGGTCTTCAGTGCCAGCTACAGAAAACCATACAGGAGAGTGGAAGTTTCCAACGGACACCTGAATAAGGAGGCAGGCTGGGAGAAGGAGGTCAGATGTTCTCCCTATGGCAAGCTCCCTCCCTTCAGCTGACCTCAGGATTGAAACCAAGTCAGAGGTTGGAATTTCTTGCCCTAAACTGAAGAAGCCATCCCAATTGGGTTCTTCCTTTAGGCTTTCTTAACAGCAGATGTGGCAGCCTAGGTGTGGCTGGCAGACACCTGTCACCAAGCTGACCTGTGGCGACTCTCCACAAAGCCTGGGGTACTGCGTCTTGGTGGAGACAGCATCCTTAGCCCTGACTCCAAAAACTTTAAATAGTCCCTGGACTTCCTGTTCGGTGCTTGCAAGTGGCTCTTGGGCTTCACTAACGCTAGCCAAGTCCTCCCGTAGATTTCCCACTCTCCCGCCAGGGCAGAACTGTGCACAAACACCTCTTGAGTGAGTGGAAGAATGAGAGAGGCAGGAGGGTAGATGAGAGCAGGAAGGGAGGAAATCAATCGTAAGAAGGGGAATGTGGAAAAGAGGAAAACACCAGTGAAGGGCGACTGGGTGGGGCCAAGAAAGTGGGCAGAACAAGACTGCAGAAGCTGGCAGTCCAGTGAGCCAGCTAAGGCTGCAGCAGGAGAAAGGGCAGCCCCGGGCCTGAGGAGAGAAACAAAGGGGAGAAGTGGGGGGGGGCTCTGAGAGGGAAGGTGTGGAGAAAAGAAGTGGAGGTAGTCAGAGAAAGCCAGGGACAGGGTCAATAGAGTGAGCAAGGTGGGCAGAGGAGCCTTGAAGCTGGAGCTTAGAGGAAGGGAAAAGAAGGGGCCAGGGAGGTGTGGGGCGGGAGAGGAAGAGAGTAAGGAAAATGCAAGGCAAGAGAACCTGCCTGTTATGCTCTCTAGTATGTCTCCACCCTCCTGAGCAGGAGGAGGACTTGAGGTCCAAGAAATGCTGGGCCAGGCAGCAGGGCAGCTGGAAGTGGCTTGGCACTAAGATGACACAGCACAGGGGCAGGGTTTGTAGTTAACTGTAGTGGCAGGGTAAAGAAGGGTCCCCGCCTTGACTCCCTGGAGGCAGACTTGCGTTTCTGCTGCGAGGCTTGGCTGCTATGACAGAATGTGCACTAATTTCCTTAGAGTCTGGGGTCCTAATATTCTCTCAGGTGAGTCCTGGATAGCCACAAGTAGTCCAGAAGCCACAGGAGAAGCAGGAAAGAGGAAATGGCTGCAGTCAGTCACGGCTTTCCTCTCCAGTACCTCTGTGATGTACCTCTTCTCTCTGTCTGTACTGATGCTTCTCTCATGGCCAGTAGAGGGGGAAGATTGTGACCCCTGGAACTAAAGTATTCTTTCTCCCTGTTCTGGGTCTCTGGCTGATGTCCTCTAGGTCATAAGGAGTATAGAAAGGTGGTTTGGAGGTCCTGTTCCATGAGGGGTTTATAACCTGACGCAAGTTTGTGAGAGATGGAAGGCAGCATGCTTTGAGAAATGTGAAGAGGTGGCACCAAATTTGGGCTGAACGTGAACTTTCGAGTCAGATAGACTTGTTTATAATCATCTGCAAGGTTGAGTACATTTCTGTGTTTTTCTCAGGCGCTAATTGTAAGTTGGTACCTTCCGAAGTGATAGCAAGTGATTTTAGGAGATTGTTTAATTAGCCCCATTATTTTATACAAGAGATATCTAACACAGAGAGACCTTAAGCCACTATCCAAAGTCACAGATAGGATGTGACAAGATAGTGGATTTCAAATCAGACAGGCTGCCCTAGAGCCTATGCTGGTGGTTGGCTATTTGCTTGTTTATTTCTTTGTTTGTTTGTATATAGCTGTGGGGGAGTGGAACAGGTTGGAAACTTAGTACGTAGTAGGTCTTCTCAAAGCAAGGCCAGAGATGCTGAATTGCCCTGTGGGTAGCATGACTAGGAGCAGCAGAAATCAGGTCTTATGAGAAAGTCTGGAGGAGGTTTTGCCTTTGGGGTAAATTAATAAACAGGATTTCAGTCTTTGGGACAGGGCTGGGGAAGCCCCAGGAAGTAACCTAGCAACTTCAGAAAAGACCAGTATTCCCATCTCACATTCTCTGGAGGGCTAATGCTGTTCCTGTTACTCTCCCTGGTCCTCAGGGTGGAGCCTGCCCACTTCTACCACCAGCCTTGTAACATAGCAAGTAACTGTTCTGTCTGCTCCACTTTTCTCCACTACTGACCCTTGACCTTTGCCTTTTGTAAAACACAGCCTTAGTACCCTAGCCAAGCTGTGACTCGGTTGGCCTTGTCTGCTTACTCAAGGTCTCATGGTCACTTATGTCCTCAGAGTGAACTGCACTGTAATTTGCTCTAGCTAGTCTGTTATTTAAACCTACCTGATGCTGGGGTGGGGTGGTGATATGGACCTGTGTGAAGTATCCCTTCCAGAATGGCTAGAGAGGAGTTGATGCAAATTTGATGGAATTTAGGGAAAGCTTGAGCTATTCCTTTCCTTTTTAATTGCTCCCAAGCTGGGTCCAGCAAGCTTCAGGACTCTCTCTAGGGTATTTCTCTCATTTGCTGATGTGCCAAGTTTTATGTAAGGCACAGGGACCAGAGTGAACAAAGCAGTTTCTGATGCTGGGAATGCAGCACCCAGGAGTCATTTTCCTGCTGTGAGTTTTGGGACTGCAGCATCTTAGGGGTTTGCTTGCTTACCTATTTTTAAAATTTATTTTTCTCCTTATTTTTGTCTGGCTATCAAACCAAGTGCTTGTGCAAGCTAGGCAAGACTATAACAGTTATATGCATCCTTGGTGTCTATTCTCCTTTTTATTGATACGTAATGATCTTCCATTTAGTAAGGAATTCACAGTTTCTATGTGTAATTTTCACTGCAATTCTGTGAGTAGGTAATATCTCCATCTTCCAGTAGGAAAACTCATGACGGAGAGACCAGGCTGCAGACCCTGACCTTCTCCTAGAGTTTGTGTGTATTTTACCGCATGACACTGAATGCTGAAACATTAGGCCTTGCTTCCCTTTAAGTTAAAATAAATGATCTTTGTCTTGGTGGTTATCTGCACCGGCCTTTATTAACATAACTGTGTCTGGCTCAGTGTGGACATGTGAAGACAGATATGTATGGTCCACCCTTGCCTGCCTTGAACTGTGGTCCAAGCCAGAGGCATTGACCTGGATTGAATGCATAGGGCAGTAGACAGTGGAATTAAAGGAAGAATGCATGATATTTTCAAGACTCTGTGAGCCAAGTTACCTGGGTGGCTCTCCATTGTGCCCGAGCACAGGACAACCTGTTCAATAGCCGTTTAATTCTCCCTTCCTTCCATTAAAAAAGCTGCTGCCATCTGCCCCATGTGCACATTCAAAAATGCATATTTAAGAGTGTATGTATATTATTTTTAAAACAGTTTTCTTCATGCAGCCAGTGGGCAGTTGAATGGGTTGTAAGGCAAATAGTTATGGGATCCTATGTTTAGATAATGATTGGGAAAAAAATCTCAGCCCCCTTCCACCCATAGCAATAAAGTGAAATTTATTCTTCAATATGTAGCAATTTCATCTCTTAACACTGAGCTTTTAATATAGAATAAGCATATATAATTAATGTCAGGAAGACAGGAAGTATGAGGTTGCAGCTCTGAAATCAGAAAGATAAGAATTTTAATCCTAGACCACGGAATAGTTAGTCACATATCTGAGGCCAGCTGACTTATCTGAGTTTGCTGAGCCTCCGTCGTTTCATAGGCAATTGAGAAAATTATCTCTACCACACAGGACTGCCCAGAGAATTCAGTGGGATTATATGTGTACAAATGTACAACCTGGGGGCTTAAAGACATCTTGTGAAATTTTAATTTATATTTTTAGGAGCTAAATGCACATGGCGCAAACATTTTAAATGTAGGATGATGAACTGTGAAAATCTCTTCTCCTCATTGTGGGCCTTTGGCTGCTGTCTCCTCTCCTTTATGCATATCAGACCTCGACAAATCCTCTGTATCGGGGCAAGGCACGGTTTGTGATTTTTCTTCTTCAGGCATAAAAATAAAAGCCTGGGAAGAGTGCATAGGTTTCCTAAGGTCACTCAAGATGAACACTGAGATCACTGAGGCCATGAACTTCTTTGACTTTCCTTTGAGAGCTCCTTGCCACCCCCACCCTTACTTCAATCTAGACAGGGTTTCTCTGTGTAGCCCTGGCTGTCCTGGAACTCACTCTGTAGACCAGGCTGGCCTCGAACTCAGAAATCCACCTGCCTCTGCCTCCCAAGTGCTGGGATTAAAGGCGTGCACCACCACTGCCTGGCCACTTCAAACTCTTATTATGATTTTATAGTTAATAGAATTTATAATTATAATTTTAAAGACACATTTTAAAAAGTTTTTTGTATGTGTGTGTGTGTACCTGAGCTTGTATGAATGCAGGTGCCCTCAGAGGCCAAAAGAAGGCATCAAATTCCCTGCAGCTGGAGCCATGGGCAGCTGTGAGCTGCCTGACGTGGGTTCTGGGACATACTTTTGCTGGGATGGCCCATGTCATTTACTCTTAACTGCTGGGCCATCTCTCCGGTCCTAGACTCTTGCATATAATTTTAGATGATTCCTTCTCACTGGAAGCTGAGGTTCACACCTTATTAATGTCTTTTTTGCATTCATCCCCAGCAGGGCTTTAGGAATGACTCTGGAGAGCCATAGCACATGTCTAATGACCTGCCAATCAAGCCTGCTCCCCGAGAAGCCCAGGTTTCTGAGTCAGAAGATGTGGGCTCCACACTTAGTCGTCGCTTATCTTATCTTTGTGACTTTGGGTGAGTTCTTCCCTTTCTCTGAGAGTCTTCGGTTGTTAAACAGTGTTGGTTGCTTGCTGTTTCCAGAAACTTGTACGCTAACATTTATAAAGCATCATGTTACAAATTGTGAAGTCATAAACAAATCTGTGATGTTATTTCTCTCTGCAAGGCCTGGGGAGGCTGAGGAATCCAGAAAGAAGTGGATTCACGCTTGGAAATGTAGTCAGGAGCTCAGAGAGAGGCTCGCTAGTCATGTATCCCTTCCCTGGGTGAGGCTTCCAGAAGCAAGGTCCCCAGCCGTGGGCTGAGTGCTGCTGACTCATGTACTATTGACTCTTTGTTCCCTAGCTGATCTCAGCCCCATTTGCTTCTTCTAGTCCAAAGGGAGCAATAATCCCATTATGAAGACATGTCTCATTAAGACATCTCTAAGATAGAGTCAGCCCTGTAGACTCTGGGTTGCTGCCTGCGAAGGCTTCTCCTCCCTTCCCCCACTCATTAATGAATATAGGAGGTTTTATTCCCCCCAACAAAAGTGTTAATTAGACATTGCTCTGAACAGGGATATTACACAAATGAATTAAACTTAAATCAATCAGCGAGCCATCTCTGTGCTTCAGGTCCCCTGAATGAGGAGGGAATTGAAGGCTGTGACGGGAAACAGGTGGTGGGATGTCTTCCCTAGTGGAGAATGAGAAGGAAGAAGCTTCCCTTTGTTTCCGGCAGATACCTCTGTTCTTACACTTCCTCTGACTTCTCCCCCTTCCCTTTTATTATTTCCCCTTTCCCACCATACACACACATACACACAAATGTCCTTGAGATTTTGAGAGTCATGATTCAATTTTTGTAACTGAAGTTGGTCTGGATTTACCAGTGGTACTTTCTGGGTACCTTATAGGGCCCAGGGTCAATATGTCAGTCAGAAGTCACAAATCCAATCACACTGTCACCTTTTCCTGTGCGGTCGAGTCTTCCGGAACCACTAGTTTTCTCGTCAGAAAATGGTGCCTGTCTTGCAGATTCGTAGCAGGGAGGGCTACCTGCACAGGGAGTCTGCACGATGGGTGATATCTGAACTCGGTAAACTTGTAACACTGATTGTCCCTTGTCCATTGAATCAAAAACAGAGGGAAAGACTGTGCCCTTGTCTTTTGAGGATACCCAGTGAATTATGAAGGAGATGGGCTGGTGAGATGGCTCAACAGGCAAAAGCACTTAATACTGTCTGTTAAGTTTCCTTCCTAGAACTCACCTACGTGATAGAAGGAGAGAATCAATTCTTGAATAAATTGTCTTCTGCCTACATGTGTACTGTGGCAAGTGTCTGCCTGTGTGCATGAGTTCAAGGCCAGCCTGGGCTACATAAGCAAGTGTCCCCCCAGCACATACTTTATGAATATCTCAAACACACCACACATATTATACATATACCACATACCACACACGAACTCCACGAATACCACACACAATACTACACCTGCATATGCAAAGCATATTAAGTATTAGGTATTTGGTATGTATTTGGGTACTAGGTCTGTTGAGAAGTTGGAGCAAGTCTTCTTGTTGCTCTGATAAGGAGGCCAGTTAGGGACAAGAGATGTAGAGAAACAGCCATGTGTTGGGTTGCCAGGGTTGTGCCAGGTAGAGGGTATATGGCCTCCATCTGGCAGAGCAGAATTTGAACAGATGCACAAAGCAGCATTTCTTTCTTTCTCTTTCTTTTTTTCTTTTTGTGGTAAAGATTTATTTTATTTTATTTTATTTTATTTTACTTATGTGTTTGTGTGTGTCTGTGTGAGTGTGTGCATACATTACTGCACTTGTTCAGGATGCCAGAAGGCAGCCTCAGATCCCACAATGCTGAAGTCAACTCTCTGACATGGGCACTAGGAACCGACCTGCAGTTCTCTGTGATAGGGTCAAGTACTCCTAACCTCTGATCCATCTTTCTAGCCCCACCTCCTTTGTTTTGAGGGGACAGCTTGCAGTTCTGGGCCAGGCAGGAGCTCTGGAGTATTGTTCTTTGCAGTGCCTACTCTTTCTTTCCTTGAAGCTCACTCATGGCCTTTCCTTATTACCAGCCCACGAGGCAGTTGTTCAGTCTTTCTCTGGAGTCCTACCATTGTCGTCTTTTCCCCTGTCAGCCCTTTTTCTACACATCATTGAGTTCTTGCTCAGCGATAGATGAAAATATTCTTCTCTCTTTTGTTGTTTGTTATTTTGGTCTTTAGAATCAGGGATTGAAGCTAGGGCTTCCTGCACACTCACCATGTTCTATATCACTGAGCTGAAGTCTCAGCTAGCCATTCTCTTTCTATTTTAGCTGCCTCGGTCTCCATTTTACTTTTACGGCCATCCAAGCACTTGGCATTCTTCATAGTCCAGAAGTTTATAATTGGAGCTAAAGCAGTGCTTCAAATTGAAAAGTTGTTCTCCAGTATCTTGGGCATTTACCTAGTTCTTTTACTTTCCAGTGTGATCTGACAGGAAAATAATGTATCAGTCATGTTAAGTTTTCATTGCTATAACAAATGGCTATGATTATAAAAAAAATAGGAAGTTTGGAAGTGTTTCAGTTTATGGTTGGTTGGCTCTGTGTTTTTGGGCTTTTGGTGAGTCAGCCTGTCATAGCAGGAGCACATGGCATAGGAAGACACTCGTGTCATGGGAGATAGAAGCAAATAAGGTAGAAGAGGGGCGCCTGGCTCACCATCAGCCCTGCTCAGTAACCCAGCTTTCTTCCAGTCTCCTAAAGGTGACACCAATACTCAATAGCCTTTTCAATAGTGTTATAAACTAGGGAACACACTTTTAACACATGGGCTATTGGAGACATTTCAGGTCCAAACTATTGAAAGAAATCAGATGTGGGTTCTGGCTTATAGACTCTGACCAGTAGTGAGGGCTCGGGTTCACTGAACATCTCTGAGGTTTTATGGGTCAAAAGTTAAAATGGATGAAAAAGTGATCCGTGAGTGCTTAGCTGCTTATCAATGCAAGCAATTATTTCTTGCTATTTCTGTTCATTTGGTGCTGAAGAACAGGAGCTCTTCATGGATGACCTACAGCATAGACTGCTAAAGCAAGCATGCGTATGGGTTTGGGCCTATCCAGATATGCTAGAAAATCATGTTTGTTTTCCATCCCACCACATATAAAGGAATTCTTTTTCTTTCATTAAAAAAAAAAAAATCAGCCAGGCAGTGGTGGTGCATGCCTTTAATCCCGGCACTTGGGAGGCAGAGGCAGGTGGATTTCTGAGTTTGAGGCCAGCTTGGTCTACAGAGTGAGTTCCAGGACAGCCAGGGCTGCACAGAGAAACCCTGTCTTGAAAAACCAAAGGAAAAAAAAATCAAAGCAGGCTAGAGAAATGGCTCAATGGTTAAGAGCACTGGCTACTCTTTCACAGGACCCAGGTTCAAATTCCCACATGGTGGCTCATAGCCACCTATAACTTCAGTTCCAGAGAGTCCTGCTCCTTCTTCTGGCTTCCATAGGCATCAGGCATATAAATGCAGGCAAAATATTTACACACCTTTAAAAAAGAGGGGGAGATCAAGACATGCTAGAGAAAGAAAACTAACATTTAAATTATGTATGTTTTCTAGTTAATAAACATAGATTTTATGTGTGTGATGTCGTGTCTGTGTGTGTGTTTGGTGTATGTCTGGTGTATGTGAGTGTGTGTTTGTGTAGTGTTTGTGTGATGCATGTTAGTATATATGTGCTGTTTGTGTGGTATCTGTGTGTTTGTGTAGTGTATGTGTGTTATGTGTGTGTGTGGTGTGTGTGTAGTGTATTGTGTGTGTGGTATGTGTGTGTGTTATTTTATGTGTGTACTTTTCTTTATTTCTGCTTTTCATTTTAAAAATTGCTTTTGCTTTGACCTTTCTTTCTTTTGCTTTCTCAGGTTTGTGTCTGGCCTGAGACCCTTAGAACAGAAGCAGGAACTTTTAGCAGCCTTTGTCTACTGTCTAGGCATCTCTTAAGCATCCTCCTAATGGGTCAATTACTTATCATTTGGCAGTTTCTGTTTTTCTTTTAAAAGAAACTTGTTGAGAACAGTCCCCTTGGGACTACGCCTGAGGCAGAGCGCTTGAGAAGGAGAACCGTGGGTGTGCCCTGTGGTCACAACTGCGCACAGAGCTTTGCAGCAGTTTCAGACAGTCCTGCCATTGACCCTGACTTTTTTCCTCTACCAATGGAGGGAAGGGATCAGGACTAAAGTAAGAACCTGCCTTCCAGTGGAAACCAAAGGTGGGAGAGGGGAGCGTGGATCCACAGGGACAAAGGAGAGAATTCCAGCAGAAGAGAATGAAGTTATGAGTTTCTTCTCTGTTGTCTGTACCAGGCCCTGAAGACTATTCTATTTACTGTTGACTGGTTTACTTTAATTCACAAAGAGGTCTGTTAAATAGGAATTAATAACCCCATTTTCTATTTTCTGTCTAAGGAATAAGATCTAGAGAAATGAGGGAATAGAGTTTTGGTTTCTTTTACCACGATCTCTTGGGCTTCCATGATGAAGAAGTTAGACCATGTTATGGCTAGATAGAAATCATACAGCTAATTCCACCCACTGGATATTTGGGTGGTTTGTTTTATTTGTTTGTTTTATTTCTGAGACAGGGTTTTACCCTGTAGCTCACTCAGTCTTTCTTTCACTCACTATGACTCCCATGCTGGCCTTGAACTTGAGGCTATCTCCTGCCTCAGCCCCTAAAATGCTGAGATTGCAGGCAAGTGCCATCATGTAGACCTTGTTTATATCCCAGTAATTTGGAGGGACACGCTCTTGCCCCTTAAAGAGACATTCAGAAAGCTAAAGCATGCTACAGAATTACACTGTGCCAAGGGGTAAATTTATGCCCTGGATAAGTTTCCAGTTAGTCTTCAAATCCTCAGGGATACAGATAGCCAAGATTCTGAGACATACTTCCCTAAAGCAACAGCCAGGCTTAGAGATCCGAGGGCTAATCCAAAAGCCTAAGAGCGTGTTTGTTTTTTCAATGTAG